AAATTAGAAATAGTGTATGATCCAGTAATTCTACTATTGGGTTTACCCAAAGAAACCCCCTAGATTTTTGCAGCATTATTTACAATAGTTAAGTTATGGAAGCACCCTAAGTATCCATAGATGAATGGTAAAAAAATATGTGGTATATATAAACATTCCACTATTACTCAGCAGTAAAAAAGAATGAGATCTTGCCATTTGCAACAACATGAGTGGACCTAGAGGGTATTATCCTAAGTGAAGTCAGTCAGTCAGTCAGAAAGACAAATACCCTATGATTGCACTTATATGTGGAATCTACAGACCTCCACTTATGGAATAAGTCACGGGAATACAAGGCACAGCATTGTATTCAAGGATTGTAGTCAAGGATACTGTAATAGCACTGCATGGTGACAGAGGGTAGCCACACTCGTGGTGGGCACAGCCTAACTAGTAGAGTTGTCCAAACACTGTGTTGTACACCTGCAACTGTTACATTGTGTTATCTGTACTTCAATAAAAAAAGAGAAAAAGATACATTGAGATATACTGTCAGTAATTTTTATAACACCAGAGACAGAAAGATGATGATGAGACAGACTTATGGACATACAAGGAGAAAAATCATATCCACTGGAGCAGAAAACAGAATGACATCTGAATTTCTAGCAGCAAATTTTGAGGGGAAAATCATTTCCAAATAAGAATTTAATGCCTAATGAAACCAATCAGGCTGAGAGTGAACTAAAGACATTTCAGACACCCAAAATCTTTAAAGGGTCACTTTGCAGACACTCCTTCTAGCCCTGAGGCTCTGAGAGATGCTGCACATACTACTCTATGTTGCCTTGGTCTTACAGCATCTTTTGGTAACACAGTGATCAGCGGACAAGCTAGTGAGCACTTGGTAGATAGCGCTCTGGATTGTCACTATATCAGAGCTCTGCATATTGCACAGGCCTTTTTGGTTGCTGAAACAAAGATTTTCCAATCTCACATGATGACTTCACACAGGCAGGTCTTAGAGGACTGCATACGCTCGTTGGTCGCTGTTTGAGGCTACGGCTGTGTTAATTCCAGCAAGGTTAGCTGTGTCTATGGAGCTGTCTATGGTGTCAGCTCAGCTAAAACAAAATAAAAAATACGACCACTTTATGGAAAGACATCTTCAGCAAAAATAAAAATTCTTTCTCTCTCAGTCTATATGATCAGAAGTAGGCATGCACTGGGTCAGCACTCAGCTCTTAGAAGGTGTTTAATAACTGTGGACTGGCCAACTGCTGAACTCACTGACCAAAGACTGCATGAAGGTGAAGAGAATTACATGATTGGTTATCTTTCCTAATTCTGCAGTCTAGAGCAGTATGGGAAATGCACATAGCAAATGGCCATGAAGACCACCCTAATTCACAATGAAATCAATGTATAGAATTGGAGAAAAGTATATAGAACTGCATAGAAGAATAAAAGACTAAATTCTGACCTTAGCCTAAGGAGGACCAAGCTGTACTTTATATAAGCCAATTTAAGTAGGATCTGCAGAAGATAATAAATCCCAGAATAAGTTGCCTGAAATGTCATGTTGTAATTTCACTATCTTTTTAAAACTCTGGGTCTTGTATTAAAAACGTAAATTACATTTAGGTCACTTGTACCTCGGTGTAAGTTTCAGGTCCATTTACAGGACAGATACAGGATAGAGCACAGAGCTTGGTGCAAATGGGCAGAAATGGGCATGCAAACAAGGACTGAATGAGTCAGAGATGGGCAGTGAGGGTGCAGGTCCATGGACCTCCAAAGTATCAAGCTCCCCTCACATGCTGGGGGGCCATCCAGTGATCTAAAGCCGCAATGAATTCTCATCATGAAAATCAACTGGTAAGAAAAACTTAGTTGAGAGGAGGAATAGTTACAGGCAGGTGAGGTAGGATTTGTCTGGCTTCCAAATACTTATTAAACATGTTGCCAAAACCCCCAGGTTGTATATCAACCAGCTGGGGATTATAGCTGGGGATTAATTTAGATTTGTGTGGAATCTAAGCTTCCCTGTCCATCCTGAGTTGCTGAAGAAAGGAATTGTTAGGCAGAGCTTTGGAGCCAGCCCAGGGACTTGGACTTAATAAAGCATTTCAGAGGGGATCAGAGGTTCTGGGGTGATCAGGGTATAAATTCCTAATCTCTGTATACACATTTGATCATTTAATTCAGCCCCACAACTCATCACCACCAGGCATGCTATGTGAAATATTTCCCCTGACCTCCTGCACAGCCCCACCAGTCGCTCCTTCAGATTGGCCTATTGGAAATCATCTGAATATTGCACAGGAGTGTTCATTCATACAAAGGCTGCTAAACCCTGGATAGCACAGGAGCCTGGATCAATTTACCCTTCTGTGCTCTCATTTATATTATTGAAATTTAAAACTGCATTTAGTTTATTAATACCAAAATGGTTATCTGGAAAAGAATAAAGCCCCATAGAAGCTGCTGTCTTGTCATTTTAGCACAGTGAATAGGAGATGTATTTAAAATGTCAGGAGATCAAGTCATTGTGAAGAGTTTCCTACCAAAGTGCAGTGAATTATTTAAAAGTCCCGGCATCGCAAGCAGCTAGTGCACCTTCTTGCCAGTCAGGTACAATTACTTCCGTAGATGTCAACTCAGTGCTCATTCTTACTGTCAGAACATCTCAAGTACAGCAAAATATGAAGACCTTGGTGTGTCAAAGCATGAAGAAAATAGAGGGCTTAACATAGGGAGAGAAGAATGCAGCTCATGTGGAGTCCTACCTATTTCCTGGGCCTTTAAGGAACCTTGTTTGAAAGGTTGGGGTTATGCTTTATTTTATAATTGGTAAGCGTGAACTTTATTGCTCTGGTTCTTGACTTTTGTACTAAGATCCACAGTCCTCATTTCTCCATGGACCCTGTAGAATTTACTCCTTTGGATTTTATCATATGTTTTCCTGTATGCTGTCTTGCATTGCTTCTAATTTGTTCCTGTATTTCTTGCCCTTTTAGTTCTATATTAACTTGTTCTGCACATCCCCCACGCCCTCTCCTCCATTCAGAGGACTATTAGGGCATGTCACCAGCACTCAACATGTTTGTTGATTGACATCATTGATACCCAGATTTCACACTGATGACTGTTGTATTTGAGCTAAGCTAAATTATTGTGGAATTCAATGCTAAATTAACTATTGTTTAGGGAAATTTACATTTTACTTCTGAAGTAACTGATTATATGTTACATGTAAAGAAAATTGACATATGTAAAAACAGAAATCAAAGTGTGCCAATGACTTTCATTCTGTCAATGCCTAACCTACATCTCAGTTTTGTGAAAGAAGGAGATCTTAGTGTAGTCTTACTATTTATTGTGGGGCTGAGCTTGACTAGCAGTTAACAAATCTGGATTCTAATTCCAATGCCATCGCTGTCCAGCTGCACCTATGAGCAAATCACTCTAACTTATTCTGGACTTACTTTTACCTTTCATAAGTTTGTCAGAGAAGAGCATGTTTAGATTTTTAGATAGGGTTATATGGATGAAATAAGGTATCTGAAAGAATTCTGAAATATCAGAATGAGCCTCATTTCTTTATACCCCAAGTTAGTGTAATCATTGTATAATTCTTTTAAAGAAATGGTCAATTAAAACTTTAAACAAAAATCCTTTATAAAGCAGAATGGTAGAACTCCCATTTGTAAAAGTAAAGAGAGATTGCTCCTACTGTGAGAATTCTTAGTGCTACCAACTGTTATTTTCAGATATTTGTATCCATTACGAGTCAAAGAATGATTTTCTCCCTTCGTAGTGTAAAGGTGCTAGTGATCTCGCACTTGCACACATCCTCTGTGCTCCTCGCACCCCTGCCTTTCCGACTCCGCCTTCTGTCACCATGGTTCCTCCTCCCTGACCCACCTCTTAACACGCACAACTTGCATCTGCTATTAACATCCGCCTGTCTTCGGAACAGGAGTTGTTTTTAGGAAAAAAAAACCCAAAAAGATGGGTTTGGCTCCAAACAGAAGTCTAAACATTAAGTTTAGCATTTCAAAACTTCATCTGGCCCTACTCTCTCAGCCTTCACTCTCGCTCTCTTCCCCCATTCCGTAAGGCTACCAAACGGTTGGACACGTGCTGACACTGAGCCTAAGTTTCTGTATTACCTCTGGGCTTTTGCTTGTTTGCTTTTCAGTCTTTATTTTATGCTTCTTTAATTCCCTGTTTCTGTCTCTCTTGATAAAACATGGTGTTCTATTCAACATTATATTCACAAGAGTGCTTAGGAGATTGTTCTTGGGCAATGAGAAGCAGTCCATAAGAGCTGTTGAATTAAAGTGAATTGCTGGGCCATGTTTTGAGGTCTGGGTATCAAATTTAACATGTCAGGGACCTGGACAGAGAGTAAGTCTCTAGTGTTAGTGTGCTAGAAAAGAGTCTCTAAGTGTGACTAAAAGGGAAGAGTCATGCTGTCTGACCAATAAATGCTGGAGCTCACAATACACAAACTGCTAGAAATCAGTCACCCATGGCAGACATTCTGAGTCATGAATGTTATTCTTCAATGCTCAGGAATTGTTTGATGTCTTTGACACACAGGATACGCATTTAAAGCCTATGGAGAGTCTATAGAACATAAGAGGCATGCTTCAGAATTTAGGTAGGTTTTAAAAACAGAAAGGGTAAATACTACATGTTTGAATAAAAATTTCATTATACAGTCTCCATCTTTTGTTTAGGAAAAAAATCAAACTTGAAGAAAACATTTCAAGTGGGACAAGGCACAGCTGCTATTATTATTATTATTATTATTATTATTATTACATGAAGGTATCTTTCTCAAGAAACAGTTCCTAGCATTTGGAGCCCTGTGAAGGCCACATCTATACAAAGAAATAGGGGTGTTAACTTGAACTTTGTCATTGATAGGCTTCCCAAGCCTTTAAATTTTCTGTCCATTCATTCTCATCTGCCCTGCCTATTTGATTCACATTGTATTTTCTCCTTAGATTATTAAAACGGGAAGAAAGTTTCACATTTATTCCTCGGTCCCGTGAAGAGCTTCCAGATAACTTTCCAAAGGAAATCCCTGGGATCTGCTATTTCCTGGAGGTAAGGACTGGTCCTAAGCAGCCAAAGCCTTCTCTTTCTTCCTCGAGGATAAAAAAAGTTTCCTACAACATTGGCACCATGTTCCTCCGGGAGACAAGCCTCTGAGACCTACCGCAGATCAAAGACTCCTCCAAAAGCACAAGCCCAGAACATTGGGTCATGACAGGAGAGTGGAATGAGATGGTTTCTCTTTCACTACTTGGCTGAGAACAAGCAGCGGAATTTCTGTGTTATGTTAGGCAATAATCCTAGAAAAAGGTGGATGATGACTGTCAATTAAAAAAAATGGAGGGGGGGGTAATGAGATGTGTCCATCCGTGTGAGTGTTTTTTGGTCATATATATATATATATATTTTAAGTATGGACCCCCTTCACAACTAATAAATAGATGCCATGTGTTCTTGTTTGTCACACATACAGCTATCTTTCCCCACTTACCTGTATCACTTTTGAGAGCCATTTTTGATGATATATTCCTACATTTAGTGAGTTGGTATGTGAGGACTATTTTCTAATTTTGTTTTTCTGAACAGACATTTCATACATACATCATGGCAGTGTGGTCAACTTCCCAGCAGGAAGAACTGTAACTCAGCAAAATATTTTAGGGATATTACCTATTTTTATACATCTCTCTTCTAGATAATTACATTTCACACAACATTACTCGATTTTCAGAATCTGCTACTGTGTAGTTGGTATATTATGTAACTGTAACCTATTAATCAAATATACTTTCACTTATTTAGACAGATTAGTGCTTAGACTGAGAATACATATAACCAAGGACTTCAGATGCTGAGAAAGCATTGTATGTCTGCTTAGTAAATATATCTTTTAGATTTAATTAATGTAGCATGGAATCCAGAGGAAATAGAATTTCCCAGTAAGAGATTTATCTGTAAGTAGGATTGCAGAAAAGTCTTGATGCCATCTTCTAACAAACGTCAGTTAAAATGAAATGCTTTGCTGCATTGGACCCTTTTCAACTTAGCACTTATAAAATAGGTAGTTTGTACAATGTACTCAACTATATTCTAATAATTTCCATGACTTGTTACCCCTCCCCCCACCTCTGCCCACTCCGCCCACTCTGCCCACTGGATGCCTCCTAAGGGCTATCTGACTCTGGGAGCAAATTCCTAGATGTTGGCGTTAGTGAGAAAGAGGTTGTGGGACGTTTTGCCGAGAATGTTGTTTCTTGAGAAATAAGGGGGAAAAACTGTGTTTTATGGCTTTGAGATTTAAAAAAAAAAAAAAGGAATTTTTCTTCTGCAGTTTGATTGATGTGGCTCTTAAATTCAGTGAATCACCTTCATGAACACTGAAGTAGGTCTAACCTCCAGGCCCAGTCATTGCCATAGTGACAGATAGGCTTCTTTCGCATGTGGTGCTAAAATGAAGATCAAGACCTGTTCCCACTAATTAGCACTGCATGAAAATATCACCACACACTCACCCTGAAATTAGGAGCACAGTACATCCAGAGTTTTCCTATTTTGGATCTAATCTAAAACCCAAGTTTCTACTGAGGTTAATGAACTGGAAATATTTGTTTCCGTGAAACCTTGAGTGGCCGTTTTTCTCTAGACGGTATACTCATTGAGAGCTTATGTCTACTGAATGTAATAGAGTGATTTCTCTGGTCAGGCATTTTGGCTGCGATATGATTTATTTATGCCGTAACTCAGCTATGGAGCATATTAACTGGTGTCCAATGTAGTCTGTGAGGCTTGTTAGTGTTTTTAAGTTCTCTAAGTGTGTAGCTAGAAAACATTTATCGATATGCAAAGTATTTGTTATAATGGTGATCACTTCTGTAATTGTTGAACTCTGTTTCACCCCAAGGCTTATGAGGACACTAGTGCAACACATAGTTTGGAGATAGGATTTAGACCATGAGCTTTCTGAAGCCTTGCCTATCCCTCTCCTCCCTTGGTCTAGGTCTCTGTTTTTAACAACGTGGGGGGCCAGAAGGTCAGTGTGTTTATTTGAGGGGAGTTTTATAGACTGGGGACAGGGTGCTCTCATGGGGGTAATTATAAAGGAATTTCTTCAGAGCACTGGGAAATTAACCCACTTCCTTCACGGGGAACGAGGGAGAGGTTTATAGTTATTGTGGACGGAACAGGCTGGGAGCACCTCAGTCCTCACACTGAAAACAGACAACACTTTAGCCAGGTGCTCTGTACAGCACAGGAACATGGGGAGAGAACCCAGCTTCACCGAAATAATTTATGCTTATTTTGCATAGGAACTTAGAGATTATGATAAACTAAATAAATGTTTTGGTGGTAAGCAATGTGTTTCATAACCATAAGGCTGCAAGGGACTTACAGTAATCATCCAATCTATTTCTCTGCTTTTTGTGAAGATTTGTCTAAGCAACTATTCTAGATATATCATTCTCTCTATACTTAAGAATATCTGTAGGAAGCATGTTTTAAAAACATCGTTGAAAATCTGCTTCATTACCCAGTAATTGGTAATAGGGCCCAAGACACTAATTGTATATACATTCAATTTGTCCAAAGAATAACAAACTCTTTTAGTTTATATGGTTCTACTTAGAGAAGAAGTAGCCATTTATATTGTCACAAATATTACAATGAAAAATATACCAGAGATCTATCATATATCACAGGATATAAACTACACTTTTCAAACAATGTAATCTAAATGTATCCTTGAAGCTACAGTCTGAGGCAATAGTCTAATCTGTTACCATATTGCCAACCTCCTGCAGCTGATTCTTAGTTACACTGTTGCTATGTCTTTGCAAGTTGCTGCTAAAGTGGCTGTTCATCCTCACCGCACTCACAGAAGTTAGAAGCTGTGAAAAACTATTATATTTTTATTTGTCCTACGTAATACAGTCTACATATCCTCCATTTAGGAATTGTGACTGCAACACTGGGTCATAGTATTTCATTTGACTAATATCTGTACAGTATTCTTACCTAAAAATTATTGCAAACATCATGCATTTTAGTGTGGCACGTTAGAAAGAATGTAAATGGATGTCCTATTAGAAATCACGGTGATATTAAATTAGGGAAATGGCTTTAACCCACTCTAAAAGGGAAACATTAAAATATAGTTTGGTACTTACAGCTCCTCTGGTTTAGTGTTGTTTTTTTTTTTTAAGGCAACTATTTTGAAGAAGTCACTTTATGACTAGGCATCAGTACCAGAGATTCACATTGGCATCAGTATTATTTTGATAGAAACAAAGTCATTTGCAAATAAGTCAGTTATCCAACAGAGTCACATATGTACCCCCAAACAGTGCACAGTATGTGCTTTGGGAATCTTAATAAATAGGTACCATTAACAATAATAGAAAAAGAAGACTCCTCAATGCCTGCGGAACACGAATTGTTGCATCTCTCCACTATATAGCATGGCATATAGCGAGGGAAAGAAGATAAAGCTTCTATGTAACAGGTGACCAAACTGTCTAAAACCTGCCTTGATATTCATTTCTTCTACTTTAAATTATTTTGGATTTCCCTTTTAATATATGACTCTGTGGAGTCCAGTGAGCCATGACCTATTAGGACTCTGAGGCAGGCACCTCTGCCTGAGACAAGAGTGGGACCATGGATTCAGCACTTCAAATGTGAACTCTCACAGTCTCACGCTTAGTTCTCTTGTCCAGGGATAGCTCTGGTTATCTGATACTGTTATCAGAGACATAGTATTCTGTTGTTAAAGTGCAAAGCGTGCCTCTCTGGGAAACACAGAGCAAAGCAAGGCAACAACTTAGACAAAATCTTTCACAAGTGCAGCCAGGCTTTTAATTTTGTAAAATGCTCCAAAGATTTCCAGCAATAAAGCAAAATTAAATTGACTGACATATACAAAAGGCAAAGCCTCGGAGTTTGGAAAACCACCAAACTCTGTGTTTGGTACAGAAATATTGCTGCCAATTGATATCACATATTTGAGGTTGTGAGATATCAAGAAGGAAATCAAAATCACGACTGTAATTAAATATATTCACTGAAGGCTCCTTGGGATCCTGGCTTGCTGAGGGAAGGTGTTATGGATCATTAGGGCCGAGAATAAAACTTGTACATGTAGGTTTCTGTCTTATCAAGCATTTTGAGCACTACTGAGCCCATCCATGCCTACTCCGTGCTGTCAGTGGAAACCATCTCGCTTCCTCAAACCCAGCCCCAACAAACACTAGCCTCTCTGCATCTCTGACCCTAACGTGGCCACGGCAAGAGTTGCTGACCTCAGGCAGACAGGAAGACCCACGTAACAATGCACTTCTGAAGTGGATGAACCATTCCCAGTTGTGCTGGGGCATTGCTAACATCTGAAGCTTTTCCCTGTGCTTTTTCTTCCAAAAACACTCTGACTCCAAGCACTTGGTGTAACTACCGAAAATTCATTCGAAGTGAATTATATATGGCCCTGAATAGGCTTTAGGGGACACCAGAGGCCTTTTAGCCAACAATGCCTAGAAACTCAAGTCCAAGAACCAAGAACCAATCAATAGCAACCTAGGTATTATTATTAGGTTACAGATCCTCAACTATAAAAATTATGTTATTTCAGGGGCTTCTGTAAGCCTATCTTACCAGATACAGCTGGAAAAACATGGTGCACAAGAGACTGAGTACTGAGAATTTAACATATGCCAGTCTGAGTGATGATTCCTTACGGGCAGCTGTCGATATGCATATGCTTCCTTCACAGCAGCTGATTTCATATCTACATAAAGTGTATTAACATGACTGAACAAACTTTACTGTTACAGGGATAAATTGGCCCCAGCAGTGGACTCAGTTTGAGGGTCCTCGAGGTGGTGAATGAAGAACAGACACTGGTATTACATACAGATGAACATAAATCTTGTCAGAATACACTGAGATAGTGTGCAAAATTCCTTCCTCACACTTGAAACCTAAGTATTACTGTCCTGCCACCTTTCTGTTTCCTTCCTTTGTTCCTTTTCCCTTTCATTAAAAAAAAAAAAAAAGTCAATGATACAGTCAATCTCATGTTGTAAAATAGTTTCAGTTTTCTAAAGTAATGAATCCTGGGGCGCCTGGGTGGCTCAGTCATTAAGCGTCTGCCTTCGGCTCAGGTCATGATCCCGGAGTCCCGGGATCGAGTCCCGCATCGGGCTCCCTGCTCAGCGGGGAGTCTGCTTCTCCCTCGGACCCTCCTCCCTCTCGTGCTCTCTATCTCTCATTCTCTCTCAAATAAATAAAATCTTTAAAATAAATAAATAATGAATCCTTTTTGTGGGTGGATGTAGGGATGTGTGCATGTAGATATTACATGATTAAAAGGAGTGACATTTTGGAAGGGCCTGGAATGTTGAGAAGTTTGCATTTTTATTTCCAATATGTTGTGACCAGAACACAACTTCAGTCAAGTGCTTCATTGTATTCCCATTCTTATTAAGAAATTATCCTGTTCAATGGTTCAGCTCATCAGC